CAAACAGTCAAACTCTTGGTACGCTTTTAATCAGCATCGAGTCCTCTACCAAATATGTGAAATTCATGGCCCCCGAGTCAGGGGTTCTGGTGTTAGAGCGGGGCTCTATCGATTATAGAGTGAAAATGCATTAAATATTTGAAAACCTTCTTATCTGCTCATGGGTATTAAATAAACTAATTAAGTTCAAAGTTATGATGAGCAAGAGTGCCTCTACCGAATTGTGAATATTATGGCCCCCGAGTCGGGGGTTATGGTGTTAGGGCGGGGTTCTATTGATTATATAGTGAAAATGCATTATTTCTTTGAAAATCTTCTTCTCTGTTCCTGAGTATTAAATAAACTAATTAAGTATATAGTTATGATCAGGAAGAGTGTCTCTACATAAATTGTGAATTTTTTGGCCCCAGGGTCAGGGGTTATGGTGTTAGGGCGGGGCTGTATTGATTATGTAATGAAAATGCATTAAATCTTTTAAAATCTTCTCTGCTCCTAGGTATTAAATGAACTTACTAAGTACATAGTTTTGATGAACAAGAGTTCCTCTACCAAATTGTGAAATTCATGGTCCCAGAGTCAGGGGTTAGGACGGGGCTATATTGATTATATACTGAAAATGTATTAAATCTTTGAAAATCTTTTTCTCTGCTCCTAGGTTTTAAATAAAATAACTAAATACATAGTTATGATAAGCAAGAGTGCCTTTACCAAAATTGTGAATTTTTTGGCCCCAGGGTAAGGGGTTACGGTGTTAGATGGGGCTCCATAATGCTTATATAGTGAAAATATATTATATCTATGAAAATCTTTTTTCTCTACTTCTGGGTAATAAGCAGATGAACTAGTTATACATGTATATTTAGTTAAAATGACTGTCTTGTGCGATTAAGTGATATGTAACATCTCAGGTCAGAAATAAAATGTCTCGCCACTTAATTTGACAAAATACTTTAAGTTTTCTAGCTTATTACAGATTGAATTGAACAATTATGGAATACATTTTGATGGACCCGTTTCAAGTGATAATGAATTTGAAACCGGAACTGTGCTTGAAACAGCGATTTAAAAGTACCAGAACAGTGCATCGAATTAATAGCAGATCATCCTGCACATGACATACTCAGACATAGACAGTTTCATAAAACTATAAATGGAAGTATTAAAATTATTAAATAATCAGGATGAGCAACATTGATTAACAGGAATGCATGATAATCATTTTTTGTATTTTTATCATTTTTGTTGAATTCAGAAGACTCTTCCAGGGAGGTCATTTATTTGATGTTCAGTTGGAATAGGATTAAAATTTGTAAATTTACAAATGTATTCTTCAATTTCTTTTCAACCTGGAGGTAAAAAATGAGGACAACATACAATAACTTGCTCAAAATAAATATAGTTAAGTTCAAAGGAAAGGTCAAGGTCAAAAAATGCTGACACAGTTAAAATTTTACATCAGTATGCAATAGCAAATGGAGTTTGATAGAAAAAATATGAATGGTTTCTTTAAAACTAAGTTAAACACAAATTGAGAGGTCAAATGAAAGTCTAGGTAAAAATGTTGATGTAGTTGAAAGGCTTAACAGCAGTATGTATCAGCATATGAAGTTTGATAAAAATATCTTCATAGTTTCATTAAAAATGACATAAGCACTAAGTTTACTGTTAGGAAAAGTAAGGTCAAAGTGAAGGTCGAGGTAAAACAAGTCGTGTTTGTGAAACACTGATGCCTCCGTATGGCAACATAGCAAAATTAAACTTTTCTTAAATACTTTAATTGATTGGTACAAAAAGTAGCGTATTCTCACTGGAAAACAATTGTGAAATTTGAAAGTAAGCCAATGTTAAAGTTTTTAAATAAGTACAAAAATCTCCAAGGACAAAAGGTCAATGTAATTGGTATCAAATGAAAGGTCTTGCCACATAAAATACTTATGTAAAGTATGAAAGCCCTAGCCCTAACCGTTCAGAAGTTATGGTCAAGGTTATTTTTTTTTTAAGTAGGTCAAATTCTAAGGTCAAGGTCATACTTCTTGTTATCAAATGAAATGTCTTTTCACAAGAATTAAATATGTAAAGTATGAAAGATATAGCTCAAACACTTCAAAATATATGGACAAGGTTTGCTTTTTTAAAGTAGGTCAATCTCAAAGGTCAAGGTCAAATGGTCAGAGTACTTGGTCTTTTCACAAGGATTATATATATGAAGTATGAAAGCCCTATCCCTTACTGCTCAAAAGTTATGGACAAGGTTAAAGTTTTTCACCAGTATGGAAATCTACAAGGTCAAGGTCAAAGGGTCAAAATTGTTGGTATCCAATGAAAGGTCTGTCAACAAAGATTATAAAAGTCCCTGGTATCTACTTTTCAAAAGATATGGCCAAACTTATTTTTATGTTAAAGTGGGTCAAACTCCAAGGTCAAAGGGTCAAAAAATTGGAACAAGGGGATTAATTTCACGGGTTTTAATTTTCACGTTTTTCTCTTCTCTGACAGAGTCACGGTTTCTTGAATTCGCGGAATTGGTATATTATAAAAGTTTCCTTCCTTATTTATACCTATTGAAAAATTATTCACTGCTTCTTGAATTCGTGGATTAATTTACACCGTGTATATAGCGAATGTTAACACCGCGAGTTATTTTCTTCCTATACAGTACACATGTGTAAGATGAAAGTCACAGCTCCACTAAATCAAAAGTTATGGGCAAGGTTTAAGTTTGTGCGGACAAACAGAGAGACAGACGGACAATGCAGACATAGAATGCAATCTACACTTCAAACAGTACTTCAAAATTCACTGATATTGGCTTGCACAAAATTAACAAATTATACTGAAAATGTATTAAATTTGGCTGTGTATTCTTTTCAGCGATTTAGGCGGAAAGAAAGTTCAGCTAATTAAGTACAACGCTAAATGTTTTGCAAATATACACAGAAATAGGAACATTAAGATATTCACTATATCAAATCTATTTACACTTAGTTGTTCAAAAACTGCCAAAATGTATCATACTTGCTAAATATAATACATTTCCAGTATCTTTGCTAAAACTTTTCTCTTTCAAAAAGACCACAATATCTTCACCTCAAATGCTGAATACATGTATTGAATCAATAGAAAGCTGGTACTTGTGTATATATAGTATACTTAAAATTTTATTGAGATTGCTTAAAATATGAGTGCAAATGGTTTTAATATGACATTTCAAAAAGTGACAAAGTAAATTTGATGATTAAGCAGACTAAATGTACAAGTTGTAGAAAAAAATAAGCTGTCAAAGAGTCTTTTAACTAAAGTCTCAACATCATTTTTCTGTGATGGACATGCAGCAATCTCACAAGAAAATTTACATACTAAATTCAAACATTACGTTCAATATATTTTTAGATCAAACACAAATGTAGGGCTCAATAATCTGAAATTAGCTTGTTTCATGTATATTGTGAATTCAATGTATTTTCAATACATATATTTAAACATATGCTGCAGGTAAGAAAATCACAACTACATGCATTGATCCCTTTGCTAATTTCCAAAAGAGGAAGAGTTGCTTTTAATCATTAGTTACATTCTAACCAGTATCTTGGGCTATGAATGGATACCAGTGGAAATTTGTGTCCCCCACATAAGGGAATGAAGAAATGACAAAATACCTAAAAAATAAATAAGCAGATATAGAAACAAGAGGTCCATGTGATTATAGGTCACCAGAGCATCATGTAACAACTTTCCAACAATTGAATTTGTTTCATATTTTAACCAGAGGCCATGACATTCACATTTTAAAAAGATGCACAATTATTTTATCTTCAGATGCTTTATGCCAAAATTGATTGAGCTATTGAAGAGAAGCTGAAAAAGTTCAAATGTCAAGCATGACATCAGACAAGAGGCCTATTGGCCACACCGCTCACCTGAAATGAGCACATGGGCTAGTTAAAAAACACAAATCAGCTCAGTTGTAATGAAAAATTTACTTGTTATGGGAGGGGGCTTTTAATTTTTGATTACTTAGGAATGTCACTATATCAATAAAGCATACATGTATAATTTCTCTATACTTAAAGAAGAGTTTTAAAGATTTTTCCTATATATTTCTTTGTAAAGATTTGATTGCCCCTTTACTATGGCCCCATCTTACCCCAAGGGGTCATGATATGAACAAACTTGAATTACCTCTAAGAATGTTTCCATATTAATATCCCCATTTATAATACATGTAGCTTAATTTGCTGGTCTTGAGAAGGAGATTTTTCCTATATAATCCTATGCAAAACTTTGATCAGCCAATGTGGCCTAACCCTATCCCCAAGGGTCATGGTTTGAATACTAGTAATTTAGAATCTACACTACCCCGTGATGCTTTCATTCAAATTTCAGCTTTTCTGGCCCAGTGGTACTTGAGAAGAAGATTTTAAAAGAGTTTTCCATTAAATATTTTGATCAATGTTAAATTATTTGATTTCATATCACTGGCCCACCCCACCCCCAGGGATAATGATATGAACAAGTAGGAATCTACACTATCCAAGGATATAAAATATACAGAAACTGAAAAATAGTTATGAACCCTTTTGTCAGATTATAAATGAATGCTTTAAAGAAACCAAGTAATAACTGCTCATAATATACATGCGCTATCTTTGCTCCAAAAACACAGAAATTTATGTGTCTAGCAGCTTGTAAAATTTCTGCTGTTATAAGGCTGGAACAGGTTTCTAACACTCTGCGCATTTCTATGGTTGTTAACTGGCAGTCACTGTGGTGAATAACGAAAACATGGTGGCACTGGTGCCGCAGCTGCTTCAGTTTGAGAACTTTGCATCCTTCCGAGACCTGCAATTTAATTCATCATACAATTTTACTTTTTAAATTGTCTTTAATACCTTGTGATGGATGATGGATTTATGAGGTTAATAGAAAAAATTTAATTTTTTTTCCTTTGGCTTTTTAAAAAAATTTATACAGAAATACAATTCAACAGCTAGACTTCTTAT